GGAAGAGCCTCCCTGTTTCCCGCAGACATCATGGTGGAGGAGTTTGTGGAACACGGGCCCCTGGACGTGCTGCTGCGCAAGGAGAAGGGCCGGATCTCCGTGGGCTGGAAAATCACCGTGGCCAAACAGCTGGGAAGTGCCCTGAGCTACCTGGTAACGGGAATGGGGCTCTTCCAGCCGGGAATTCTCACGGGTATCCTCCCCTGCAGCTTCCCAGGAGCCACTTCCCTTTGCTTCCCCAGGAGATAATCCTGTTTTTAGGGTTGTTCTGCCCCATCCCTGCTCCCTCTTCCCTGGGAAGGAACATCCTGGGGAGAGGGGGAATTCAAATCCAGAATCCCGGCTCTGTAGGTTCATTTTGGAGCTGGGAAAAGCTGGGATGAGGATGGGATCCCAACCAGGGGCTTGGGAATGGTGTTGGAAAACCCTCCCCATCTTATTCCCTGCTCTGGGTTTATCCTGGAGCAAAATCCCAGGACAGGGAGACGACACAGAGAATTAGAGCCAGGAATCCCACTTTTCCATTTTATCCCGGAATCCCTGAGCTTGACCTTGCCCTGCTGCATCACTGGGAGCTTTCCCAAGGTTTCCTTTGTTTTATCCCAGGAGGATAAAAACCTGGTGCACGGGAATGTGTGTGCCAAGAACATCCTGCTGGCCAGGAAAGGGCTGGAAGACGGATCTGCTCCCTTTGTGAAGCTCAGCGATCCCGGGATCAGCTTCACGGTGCTCTCCCGGGAAGGTACGGGATCATCCCGGCCTGGAGCTGGCCAGGGGTGGAATTCCCAGTGGAAAATCCGGGCGGTTTTTCCCCCCTTCCCTCATGAATCCCACGGATTTTGCCAGAGCCGTTTTGCCAGAATCTTCCCTGCTTTCCCAACGTGAATTTTCCCGATATTTGGCATTTTGGATGTGGGAATTCTGTGGGAATTCCGTCTGGTTTTGGCTCAAACCCTCCATCAGGGCTGATCCCCCCCTCGGTGTCCGACCTCTCTCCGAGACCCTTCCCCACAGGATCTCTCCCGTTTCCCACAGAGCGCGTGGACCGGATTCCCTGGATCGCCCCGGAATGCGTCCGGGATGTGGGAAACCTCAGCACGGCTGCCGACAAGTGGAGCTTTGGGACAACCCTCCTGGAAATCTGCTTCGACGCCGACGTCCCGCTGAAGGAACGAACCCCTTCCGAGGTGCCGCTCCCGCCATTTTAGGCCGTCTCCTGCCATTTTGGGCCACGTCCCGCCATTTTAGGCCGTATCCCGCCATTTTGGGTCATGTCCCGCCATTTTGGGCCGTATCCCGCCATTTTAGGCCGTATCCCGCCATTTTAGGCCGTATCCCGCCATTTTG